ACGCAAAGCGTGACGTTCCCACACCAAGAGCCAATGTACGTCTTGGGGTCTCGGGGTTGGTTTTCTTGTGGAAGGCTTCTTGTGGATTGGCCTCTACTGTACACCGAACTAGGCCAGGCCCATCCTGGTCCCAGGACTATTGCGTACGCCCTCCTGGCTTGGCGAGGGAGGCATATATAATCCAGGGCTGCAGGGCTCCACGGCCCCCCCTGATGGAATTGGGAGGGGGACGACGACGACGACGACGACGACGACGGCGACGACGACGACGACGACGACGACGACGGCGGCGACGACGACGACGACGACGGCGGCGGCGGCGGCGACGGCGACGACGACGACAACGGCGACGGCGACGACGACGACGGCGACGACGACGGCGACGATGACGACGACGTCGACGATGACGACAGCGACGACGACAGCGACGACGACAGCGGCGGCAACGGCGGCGACGACGACGACGACGACGACGGCGACGACGGCGACGACGACGACGACGGTGGCGACGGCGGCGGCGGCGGCGCCGCCGACCTCCGGAGCCCTTCGACGACGACGACGGCGGCGGCGACGACGACGACGACCTCCGGAGCTCTCCTGGAGCACCACAGTACCACGCCACACGCCGCACCTACAGCACCACATCACACTCACAGGGGGGGATGGGGGGACCATCGCGCGGTGGGGGGGCCCGATGGCATCAGCATGAGGTGGGGGGGGGGGCAGACCCTGGACCATATATGCGCCAGTCCTGGCTGTGGCCTGGCCAGGCTCGTCGCGGGTGTACAAGTGGCGCCCCCCCCTGAGTGGCTTGCACGCGCCCTTCCCGCAGGCCGCGGGGGGGGGGGGGCCCTGCGGGTTCCTGTGCGTGGCTGGCGCACTTCCCTGTGGCTGCTTGGACTCCTGTGTGGGCGGCTCTCAGTTGGGAAGGTTTGGGCACTTTCCCAGGGCCGCCTCGGCTTCTCTGGGTTCCCGTTTGTGTGTGTGTGTGTGTGTGTGTGTGTGCGTGCTCGCTTCTCGGTGTCCCCGTTTAGCATTTCCGCTGGCACAGCAGTTCTGCCTCGCCGCCGACGAAGTGTGTTTGTGTGTGTGTGTGTGCGTGTGTGCGCGTGTGTGTGTGTGTGTGTGTGTGTGTGTGTGTGTGCGTGTGCGTGTGTGTGTGTGTGCTTGTGTGCGCGTGTGTGTGTGTGTGTTTGTTTGTGTGTGTGTGTGTGTGTGTTTGTGTGCGTGCGTGCGTGCGTGCGTGCGTGCGTGCGCGTGTGTGTGTGTGTGTGTGTGTGTGCGTGTGTGTGCGCGTGTGTGTGTGTGTGTGTGTGGTTGTGGATCTCATGGCCCCGGCCACAATATCGCCTCGGATGTCATGGCACTCTCTTCTGCTGTCGACACGTCCCTTGGCCTCCCCTGGGCCGTGCACGTGCCTCGGGCCATGGTTTGCGACCCGCCTTCCTGGACATCCCCGATCTGGGCGGCCCCGATCTGGGCGGCCGGCGCACCTTCAGGTGGCCGCTTGGGTTCCCACGGGTTCCTGCGCGCTCGGTTGGCCGCTTGCTGAGTTCCTGTGGGCTCCTGTGGTTGGCTGGTGCACTCTCAAGTCGCCTGCTGGGTCGCCATGTTCTCCTGTTTGAGGCGTTTCAGAAAATGTCTCGCCTTCGAGGGATCCAGAAGCTGGCAACTCCTCCTCGGCGGAAGGCGGCGGAAGGCCAGCGGATCGCGGCGGAAGTAAATCGGGGGCGGATCTGCTGGAGAGAAACGGCGGAAGTAAAAGATGTGCCCCCCAAGAGATGGCAACAGTTTGGGCTCAGGGCTTCGTGAACCCGTCATGCGTGGCTAGCGCACTTTCAGGTGGCCGCTCGGGTTCCACGCACTGGGCCCCAAGCATCAAGGGTTCCACTATTTGTTTTTTTCGTCCCAGCGCGGCAGAGGCGATCCGCTCGCGCGGTCTAGTAGCCTGGGGCGCGTGGCGTAGCAAGTCGCCTGCGCAGCCGCACCTGATCGGTGCACATCCTTCTGCGGGAAGCACCCACCTTGGGGGGGGTGGGCGCTCCAGCCAGGGAGCGAACGAGGAATTCCACCTTGTGGGGCGGACGCTCCAGCCAGGTCATAATGCAGGGAGAGGGAGAGAGGGAGGACGCGCCACCTTCGGGGGCAGCCCGCGGGAGGAGGCACCTGATCGGTGCACAGTCACATAAGGGACACATCGGGGCTTACCTTGGGGGGTAGGCCTTCTGAACAGGAGGATGGCAGATGACTCACCATAGGGGACGGCACGCACACCAAGGGTTCCACACAGAGGGCTCCGCACACAGCATTCCGCACTTCGAGCTTCTCACGCACATGTGGGGCTTCAGAAGCAGCCCCGCCTTCGAGGATCAAGCGAGTTGACATCTCTTCCTCGGCGGAAAGCGGCGGAAAATTGGCGAAGAGCCAGCGGAAGTAAAACGTGGGCTGCTCCGCTGGCGGAAGCGCGGCGGAAGTAGACGAAGCGCCTCCCAAGAGACGACAAGATTTGCCGGTCCAGGTCCTCCGAAACCGACCATGCAGGCCCACACGCGAGGTGCCACACGCACAGGGCTTCACACACACACACGCACACATCAGACCTCACGCGCGTAGGCTTCCACGGGCAAGTCTACACCCAAAGGCTGTCGCCCGAGCCGGCTGCTCGCGCCACACGCTGGCACCGCTGCTCCACGGCAGGGGTGGGCGCGTCGCGGGGGGGGCCCGGCGGCAGGTGGCGCGTGCGCGTCCCGAGGCCCATCGCCGGCGGGTCGCGGAGCGGGCCGCGGCGGGCCTGGTCAGGGGCAGGTTGCCGGCGGGTCGCGGGGCGGGTCGGGGGGTGGGTCGTGGGTGGGCCGCGGGCGGTCGGCGGGGCGGGGCGGCGAGACTAGGCAGGACAGGGCCAGACAAAACAGAGCAAGGCACGGCAAGGCGAGGCAAGGGAAGGCGCAGCACGAGGCAGCACAAGGCGAGGCAGTGCCTTGCCTTGTGCTGCCCTGCGCCATTGGTGTCACCTTGCCGTGCCTATGGTAAGCGTAGGGCATGGCAAGACATGATGACTACCACAACAAGCCTCTGAGCCAGTGGCCATTTCAGAACGCTCGGCGCGCTGACTCTGACTGCCTCACCGTCCCTCTTTCCGTTGCCCTGCGCCACAGTATCCAACATATGCTTTCGTCCATCTCCCTCCCTTCCTCTTTCATCTTTCCTTTGCACCTTGCCCTTTTTCCACCTCCCTTTCTTTTTCCTTGCCCTCCTCCATCTCTCCTTTGCACCTTGCCCTCCTCGGCTCTCTCTTGTCCTTTCCCTTCCTGGTACCCTTTCCCCTTTCTCGCTCCCTCACCCTGGTTATTCCGTTTCGCTTGCCCAGTTCCCTTCCCCTTTCAATTTTTTGGTAATTTCTCTTCCCTTTCTTTTCCCGGTCCCCTTCCCCTCCCTTGTCCATTGTTTTCTCCTTTCTCTTTAGCTTCGTTTCCCCCTTTCCCTTCCACTTGCCCTTTCCCGTGCTCCGTTCCCGTACACTATTCCTCTTTCCCGTCCCTTGCCCTTTCCCCTTCGCGTCCCCTTCCCCGCCACCCCCTCCTCCCCCCAATCCTGGCCAACGGGAACCTCCTTGCATTTGTGCCCCCCCCTGTCCTCCTTGTCCCCTTCCCGCTGCCCCTGCCCCTCCCCCCCCTTGCCGCCGTCTGCGCCCGCTGCCGCTGCTTGCGCCCCCTTGCCCCTGTCCCCTGCCCTGCGCCCCTCGGCCCCTGCTGCCCCCCCCCCACCTCCCACCAGTGCAGGACACACCTGGAAGGGGCAGCCCAGGCCCCAGGGCAGCCGCCAGTCGGCCCGAGCTCGGCGCTGGCGCTCGCCGTCGCGCGTGAGGGCAGAGATGCTGCCCCCCCCCTCTCTCTCTCTCTTTCTCTCTCCCGCTGCCCCCTGTCTCCCCCTGCCCCCTTGCCGCTGCCCCTGGTCCTGCCTGCGCGCCGCGCCCGCCCACGGCCCCCATCCCCCCCCCCCCCGACTTGCCTGCGTCGCCGCCCGTGCTCGCCCTCCCCCCGCCCCCCCCCCCGCGCAGGTGAGCGCGGGCGGGGGCAGGAGCAGCGGGCCGATGCTCGCGCGCGGGGGCGGCAGTCACGCTGGACGAGCAGGAGGATGCAGCGCTGTGCGCGTCTGTTCCGCACGCTGGGCGAGGAAGTAAACGGCTTTCAAGTGCAACCTCCCCTGCCGCGCGAGTCCGATTTTCTACCGGCCTTGAGGCGTGTAGCGGCGATCGCATGTATCGCCAGCTGTTGATTCGGGCTGCCCGCTCAGAAATATCCCTCCGACGGTAGGGCCCCGCGCCATAATCTGCTCAGCTTGGCTGGGGATATCCTCCGGGTCCCTCCTCCTGCCCCCTCCTCCCTCCTTTTCTGCTCCTGCCTCCTCCTCCTGCCTCCTCCTCCTTCCGCCTCCTCCTCCTCATCGCCCTCCTCCTCCTCCTCCTCCTCCTCCTCCTCCTCCTCCTCCTCCTCCTCCCCCTTGTCTTTTTCCTGCTCCTCCTCCTCCTCCTCTTCCACCTCCTCCTCCGTCTCCCTCTCTGTCTCTGCAGGCCAGCATCTGCGCGACCTCCGCCCGGGAACCTCCGCGTACTACTCTCGTGGAGGAGCCGACCCACAGGGCGGCGGAGACTGCCAGGCCGCCGCAACATGTCATGAAGAGGCGCGCGCGGAGCTCGCCCGAGCAACGGGGGAACTCTCGGTTACGGACCAGGGGCAACAGGAGGCCGTGTTATTGCTGGGCCAGCGCATCTTGAACGTCCCCTCTGCCCAATCTGCAAGCCCCAACATGGACACCGCGGTTCGCATTGGTCGAGGCTGCTTCGTCTGACGGCCTCGAAATTTTTGTCGATGGTAATCTGTTCACTATACGTGAGGTTGCGAGCCCGGAGGACAAGAAACATAGTCAGGAAAATCAGGGATCTTTTCGCGACCCAGGTACAACAGTCCCTCACGAACGCGCTGGGGCCAACAACCCAGCGTATGGCCGATCCCGAGGCCCAGTGCGAGCAACTGGCGCAGAGGTTCGGGAGAAAGTGCATGACCTTGGACGAGAACGGTGTGGAGGGTGCTGCAGCTGGCGGCCAGCCTTCTGGCCTTGCGGCGAGCGCTGGGCCGCACCCTGCCGCCCGTGACGCTTCCAACAGGGGCGGGCTTGCTGCATGCGCCGGTGGGAGCTGTCCGCTTCCGCGTGGAGAACAAAATGCACGAGGGGTGGTGCAGGCAAATCCATCAAGGGTGACAGGGCTCCCCAAGAAGGCTGGCGCCGCCCCACCAGCTCCGAAACAGCTTGCGCAAGGCCACGAGCTGGCAGGGGAGCGGGGCAGGCGACCGCGGGGGACCGAACCATCAATTCCTACGTCCGTAAGATGATACCGTGGGCCTCAGGCTCAATGAAGGAGCTACGTGATGGCATGAGAGGTGCACATCTTTGTTGGGTTGCGGAGACGCATTTCAGGGATCCCACTGCAACTATCAACGAACCAAACAAACATGGTTGAAAGGCGGCGGTATGTCCACCACGACCATGGAAATCTGTACAGCGTTCAGGTGGCCGCCCGCCGGTACTTCCAATTCCATCCGTTCAGAGACTTGGGCTCATAACCCGGGCGGCAGGAAGGTATTGCCATGCTTGGCGGTGGGCTGCGGGGTGGAGGGCCCGCTGGTTTCTGGGATTTCTCTGCGGTTAAAGCTCACCTGAGGCCTGGGCGTCATGTTCGTCGCCCTCGACCTCGTTCCAGGCCAGTACCTAGGTGGCGCCAGCGCCGAGAAACTCACTTCTCTCGGCGCGCTGCTCAGGATGATTCAGATGTCTTGGGTTGTCGCAGTTGAGTGGGGCGTTCCACCTCGAGCGCTGGCGGACTCCCGATGGCCTGGCCTCTTCGCGTGCAATATCGTGAAGCAATTAAACATGTCATGGGCATGCAATCGAGCGCCCATTCAACCTGCTAGACTGCGGAGTTGTCTCTGACTCGTTGGCTCTCCATGTGAGGTCGTGCGCCGCTTGCGAGACGGCAGGAGACCACCCGGGATCTGGTTTTCACTTGCGCTGGACACTAAGGCCAGGGAGATGAGGAATCTCCGATTTCCGCGTCGTCCTCCATGGGCCGCGCTCTGTTCTCGCGTCGCTGGCGCGTCCGAGCCTGCAGCGTGAGCGGCCGCGTCTCGGAGGAGGGGCAGGGGGGGTCCAAGATTAGGTCGGGCCTGTCCCCCTACAAGGGGATTTTGGACGAAAAAGAAAAATAGTCAAGACATACTCCAAACATATGCAAAAATATTACAAACAATCGTCCCCAGACTATTTTTTTGACAATTTTTGAATATTCCCCCTGTAGAGGGACAGGCCCGATTTAGGTCCAAAGGCAGAGGCGTGAACCATTCGAAAGCGGCCGGCCTCCGTCTTGGCGCGCGCGCGCCCAGCTCGGTCGGGGCTGGGGAAGAGGCGGCGGCGCCGGGGGCGGCGAGGCAGGTCCTCGACCTGCCAGCCGCCCTTCAAAGACGCCTTGCACCTGATGGGGAGGAGGAATTCGGGCCGCCATCGTCGTCGACGCCCGGTGGTTCGGGGCCCACCGGCAGGTGCTTAAGTCTGCAGTGACGGCGCGGCTCCGTGCACCCTGCCGGGCCCCTGGGCTCGTCGCGTCTGCCGTCAGCGCCCCGCGTGGAGCGGGGCCCTGCAGGAGGGGCGTCTCGGCGCACCCTCCTCGCGCTGTGCGGTGGTGGGAGGTGGGGGTGCGCGCCAGGAAGGAATTCAATGTTGCCTGCTCCAGCTGCGGAGGCTTAGGCGCTGACCATTTCCGCCTGACTGGCAACCTTGCCATGGAGTGCGAGCCCCCCCGCGTGCGCGGGGCTGGAATGTTGCAAAGCGTTGGAGAGCGGGCGCGCCCCATGCCGCGTCGAGCTGGCGAGTGGGATCAGCGTCCTGAGGTGGTCGTGGAGGGAGCGCAAAGCGCAGTGGCGGATTTAAGCGTGTTGGGCTTGCAAGCGCGGACGCGGACGACCGAGACAACAATGGGCGTCTTCAGTTTACAGGTTGTTGCAACATGTGTGAGCAGGTGAGCGGATCTTTTCACCGTTGTCTTCATAGCCGCTGTAATTCCCAGGTGTGGTGGTTGGCTACATCATTCTTTCTTGCCTACGCGTCCACCTGGACGCAAGGCTTTCTTGCTTGCTTGCTTCCCTTTCCATCCCGCTTGTTCTCCTCGTGCACCTCTCCTTCCCTCTGGCCGGGGCATGTGTGCCGATTTTCCTCGGCGCCCTCGCCGCCGCGGCCAGCGTGCGCGCGTTCCCCGATGGCCGGATCGCGAAACCGTTTGGGCAACCCCGCGAGCCAGGCCTTTGGGGCAACCCCGTGGGCCGCTGGGGCGCGAGAGCAAGCCGTCAAGACAACGGCGCGGGCCTCAAGCTGGACGCCGTCGCGCTCAGGCGGGAGGCAGCGTGAAGCTAGCTCTGCCGCGAACTCCGCCTCAGTCCTGGAGTTCGCAGCCCTCTCGTCGAACATGGATGGGGGGCCCCGTAGGGAAGGGCTCCTGGTCGATATTTCCTCGCGATTCACTTGCAGACGATGCCCCCCTTGTCGATATTTCCTCCAGGTGCAGGCCTGAGGGGCCCAGAACTGAAGGCAGTTACAGGATTCGCATGGCCCGTTTGGATTCGAGCGAGGAGGTGTGGGCCTAATAGGGAGGGGCTCCCGCTCGAGACTTCCTCGCGATGCACTCGCAGACGACGCCCCCGTTCGAGACTTTTTCTAGATTCGGACCTGGGGACCCCAACGGTGATGATTGTTGGGCTCCCGTTGGAGACTTCCTCGCAGTTCACTTACAGACGACGCCGCTCGAGATTCCTTCTTGGCTCAGGCCTCAGAAGCCTAAGCGTGACGAACATTTCAGGTTGCAGATGGACCGTTTGGATTCGAACATGGAGGTACGGGTTCCGTACGGAAGCGCTCCCGTTCGAGACTTCCTCGCGATTCACTCACAGACGAGGCTCCCGCTTGAGACTTCCTCCATCATCTAGCTTGGGGACCCCAAAAAGACGATAATCACAGGTTTGAGGACGACTTCTTGGGATTCAATGTGTGAATCATAAAGAGGGGCTCCCGCTTGAGATTTCCTCGCAAGTCACTCACATACGAGGCTCCCGCTTTATACGTCTTCCATATTTCGGTCTGAAATTTTCAAAGGTGACGACCGTTACAGGTTTAAGGATGACTTTCCGTGATCAAACATGTGGGGCGCGGTCCCCATAGGGGAGGGGCTCCCGCCTGAGACTTCGCAACTCACTCAGAGGCGAGGCTCCTGCTCAATACCCCTTCACATTCAAGCCCGGGGAGCCAAAACGTGAAGACAATTACGGGTTTGAGGATGACCCCGCTTGGATTCAAAACGTGAGGCGTGGGCCTCACAAGGAGGGGGCTCCCAGCTGAGACATCCCCGCCCTCTTGAGACTTCCTCCATATTCAGGCCTGGTGGGCCCAAAAGTGACGACAGTTACAGGTTGAGGACGGGCCCCCCGGATTCAAACTGTGAAGAGCGGGCACCATAGGGACGGGGCTCCCGTCTGACACTTCCTCGCAGTTCACTAACAGATGAAGCTCCTGCTTGAGATATCCTCCATATTCGGGCCTGAAGCGCCAAAGTGACGACAGTTACAGGTTTGACGATGACCCGTTGTTATTCTAAACGCGAGGTGCGTGACCCATGGGGAGGTGGTGTGAGCGTGTGAGGTGAGTGCGTTGGAGTGTTCGAGATGATGACGATGGTAGTGATGATGATGATGATGGTGATGATCGTGGTGTGATGGCGAGTGGGTGAGTGAGTGAGTGAGTGAGTGAGTGAGTGAGTGAGTGAGTGAGTGAGTGGTTGGGTGGTGGGTGAGAGAGTGAGTGGGAGAGTGATTGAGAGACTGGGGGTGATGATGATTTTGGTGGTGATGATGGCGATGCTGATGCTGCTGATGATGATGATGATGATGATGATGATGATGATGATGATGATGATGATGATGATGATGCTGATCATGATGACGATGCTGCTGATGTTGGTGATGATGACGATGATGGTGATGTTGATGGCAGAAGGAAGGGGTGAAAGGGTTCCTGCGCGGGGTGTCCAGAGAAAGCAAGAAACCATTTAGGACGTGGGGACAAACATTTGGCTGTCGCGCCTGTGGCGCGTCCTCCGCGCTTCGTGCGGGAGAAGCACCTGCCCTGCCTTTGGTAACAAGCGTTGGGGGGTCCCCCCCCCGACGGGGATCAATGTCGACCTGTCCGCACCCGCGGGTCGTGGGCCTGGTTTTTGCAGCCCGTGGTGTCGGCTGACTGGGGTCGACGCCGCGCGGCCATGTTTGCCCGCGACGGGGGTCGATTTGGGGCTGTCGGCGGGGGTGGCGCCCCCCCCCCCCCCCTTCGGCGCTTATGACCAAACGCAGAGTACCCTTTCTGGCTTGACAGCTCGCTTCTAGCTGCGTCGGAGGAGCAGGCGGACACATCATGAGGGGGGGCGCAAGTCCTGGAGGCCGCCCCCACGCGCGACGCGTTGGCGCATACCGTGCGGCACGCTTCACCGCCCCCGCCCCCGCCGAGGACATCCAGCTCGGCCCGCTGGACGAGAGCGCCGAGTGCGCCCCCCCCCCCGCGCCGGCCGGCTTGGACCCAGGAGGGGGCGCGGCAAGCTTAGGGACCTTTAGTTCTGGGCGATGCAGGTTTTTCTTGTTTTTTTGCGCTGGGCGTTCTCGCCTGGCCCCGGGGCCCGCGGTCATGACGTATCGATCTGGCCCGACAAGTGCGGCAGGAAGATGGGGCCCAGGGCTCCGGAGCCCAGACCTCCAGAGACTCGGGAGGGCGAGGGAGGGCGACGGCGAGGAAGGGGAAAGGAACGGGGGCGAGGAAGGGCGAGGAAGGAGGAGGGGCGAGGGCGAGGAAGGGCGAGGAAGGGGTGCGCCGCGCCCTGGCGGTCTTCTTCCCGCAGCGCGCGCGCCGCCCTTCCTCTTCCGCTTCTCTGCGGAGCCCGAATATCGAGCCTGAGGTTTTTCATCCCTCCCGGCCACCAGAGGCCGTCCGAGAGGGCCTTGCGGTCGGCGCCGCCCAAGCATTCTGGTACTATGTTTGCGTCGCCCCCCCCCCTCCCCCCCCCAGGGGCGTCGTACATGCTCCGTGGTGGGCGCTTTCTGGCCGTGCCGTTCGGGAAGCTATACGTATACATGTTTATATATATATATATATACATATATACACAATATATATAGTGTATATATATATATAGATTTATATATAGGTAGTGTATATATATGTATACGTATATGTATGACAAGATGGTGAAATGATTCGTTCGGGTCGGATGCAGGCTTCCAGAGCGTACACGCAGTGCTAGTGTGTCATGTCCTTGCGCGCCCCGTGGGGCTGCCAGACCGCTGCTCCGGGCGACGAGCGGGCCCCGCGGAGAGGGTAGCGAGAGGACTGGGCCCCGAGGCTCCCAGAGCACATCGCGCCGCCGCAGGTCGGGGCACGGCGCTCTGGAGCGCCCTTCCGGGGCGCTCGGTAGCTCTCGGGGGCCCCCAGACGGTGTGGTGACCACACCGTGCGGTGAGTCGGTGGGGACTCGGGGTCACCGCACGGTTTTGGGACTCGAGTCCCTCTCCGAGGGTTTTGGGACTCGAGTCCCTCTCCGAGGACGTGAAGGGCGACAGGGGCCTCCAGGGTCCGAAGACCGTGCGGTGACGGACCGTGCGGTGAGGTCTCTTGGGGTTCCGAGGTCACCGTACGGTCTGTCACCGCACCGTTTCGGGACTCCAAAGTGTTGCCAGAAGTGCCCCTGGCCCACCGGGCTTCCGCAGCCATTGGCTTATGCCAGGTCGGCGGCGCGCTCCTGTGGGACGGATCTGGGCCCGCTCGACGGCGTACTGTGAAAGCATGGATCGGTTAACTCTTCTGGGCTGCACGGATGTAGGCCTTCGTGCGGCAGGGAGGAGCTGTTCTTCGGACCAGGCGTAACCACCTTGTGCGTGGCACCGCCGCCTTGCTGGATCACCTCAGGCATACAGTGCTGGAGGTGCTGCCGAGGGAAAGAAAAAATGCCCCTGGCCCAGAGGGTGCCCCCGGGAGGTCCCGGGAGGGCGGCCACCACCAGAGCCCCCCACGAGGCCCAGGCCCAGAGGGCCCCGTGGGGGTTCCAAGCCGGAGCGGAGAGCTGGAGTCGCCTCGGGCCAGGGGGCCCCCGGGAGGTCCAAGGAGGCCCCTGCGGCCACCACCGGAGCCCCTCACCGGGCCCAGGCCCAGAGGGCCCCGTGGGGGTTCCAGGCCGGAGCGAAGAGCTGGAGTCGCCTTGGGCCAGGGGGCACCTTGCGCGCAACCCCCCGACAGGAGCGGCCGCGGCCCCCGATGCGCCCTGCGGGACCGCCGGGGCCTCAGAGATCCCGTGTGGTCCCGAGCCGCTGCCGGCCTCCCAGAGTTCCGACGTCGGTGATTTTTTTCGCAGCCTCGTCCCCTCGCAGGCCTAGAGATTGACACCAACACCAATATCGGCGGTGTTCCTCCACCGCGGGAAGAAAGATCCCGATTTCGGTGATGGTGGTAATATGCTGGCTTCCAGGGTGGCCGAAATCCACCAACACCGAAATCTAGGATCATCTTCCCCCCTGTGGAGGCACCCCCCTGTGTTGGTGGTGCCAATTTCCTGGCCTCCAATCCCCAAGAGGTCTGGACCCCATCCCCGGGACCTTCTTCTTCATCCCAGACACTTTCTTTGACGTGCCGGAGGCCCTCGGGGACCGACACCTGCCAGAGACATGCCGCCGTGCTTTTTTCTCGGGGCCGCCGTTTTTTGGTGCTGTTCTCGTGGCCCTCGCTTTCTGTTTTTGTTGCGACGAGGGGGGCCGTTTGGGGGTCGTTTGGGGGGGATCGCCCGGGCGCGCAGGCCTGGGCGCGCTGGGGGGAGCTCGGGAGGCAGGAAAGGGGCATGATCTTTAGGGGGTGTGAAGCACATTTCATTTCAAGGGGAACCTGGCGATGTTATTCCTCGCAGGTCGCATCGCCGTGTCCACGGATTGGCACCAGACCCCTTTCTGCCACACCCCCTCTCCGACCTCCAGAGGAGCCGCGGGGCCTGGCGCGAGAGCCCCAGGATCAGGGGCAGCGTCGATCGAGGCTGGAGGTTTCTGTTGGAAGCTTTCGTCGCTCCTCGGCGGCGTTCCGGCCCCGGGATGCTCTCTCCACCACGCTGCGCCTCGCCCGTGGCGCTCCCGGAGGTGCCCCGATCGTCCCGGAAAGGCTGCCTGAGGCTCGAGCCACGTCCCGAAGCAGGCTCTCCTGGGGGGGGCGCATCGCGCCCCGATCGCCCCTTCATCGCTGCTGGGGGCCCGGCAGGCCGCCTCGGCAAGGACAGTGGGCCGGACTCGCCATCGGGGGCCCATCGCCGACGTATCGCCGATTCCAGCACGATGTCCTGCCCCTGCCTGAGCGTCCAGGGCTCGTGGCTCCTGCCCCTCATGGCCTGCGTCTGACCCCACGTGGGGGCTCTTTTCTGCCAGCGCTCGGACGGCTCCGCACGCAGCGACGGCGGCTGGCATGGGCAGCAAGTAGGACGGCGGTCAGTCATGCGCGCGCGACATCGTTTTGACGGCTTTGTTGCGCTGCACTGGCGTTCGGTTTCGGAGAAGCCTCCTGCAACAGAGGCGCACGGGCACTGTGCTCGGCGTAGTACCACAGTGGGCGTCTGATGCTTTGTCGTGGTGTAGTCGGACCGAGGTGTAAGATCGAGGGTGGTTCGGAGAAGGTACTCTGATGTTCCTCGCGTTTGTTGGATGCCTTTGTGCATCCTGGGGAGGGCACCCTCGAATCAGCTTGGGCCAGCGGAGGGTCTCATGTTCTTGAAGGATGTTCTTCTGTCCTCGGTCCGACTGTAAGTGCAGGGCACGCGCGTGCCGTTGTGATCGTGAACGCTATGCCTTTGCTTTCTCGTTTGACCGGAGGCTGCCCCGGCTCTACGGGACGTTGAAGGAGTGGAACTCGCAGAAGGCTGGCGCGGCCTACCGGTGGAGGAGAATCTCGTGTGCGGCGCATGGGCGTGAGGACCTATGTGCATGCGCGAGCTTGCGCGTGCACGTGCTCGCTTGCCAACAGCTGTTGCTGCTGACGCGCGCGTCTGACTGCGCCCGCGCCCTGCTCTGGGCGGGCCCTCGCGCCTGCGGCATGCGCGTGCGAGTCCGTGCCCTGAACGTGGGCGATGACTCAAAATGGTCGCCAGCCTGGGCAAGCACACTGCACGGCGCCACCGGGCCTTTTCGTGTAGTGGGACTTGCATGTATGTGTGTGTGTGTGTGTACCTGTGTGTGTTTATGTGTGTGTGTGTGTGTGTGTGTGTGTGTGTGTGTGTGTACGCGACTGTGTGAGCAAGCGCACGCGAACGAGAGCATGTGCAGGACTGCGTGTGTACGCTTTTTGACACCGTGTTCTTGTTCTGCATCATCGACCCGCCTATCTATAATTATAATCCACTACATTTGTACGTGCTGGCACGCCTACTCACCTGTGCGCAGGTCACCAGCGTGCTCTCGGGAAGTGCTGCCTTTTTGCCAAAAGCTGCTGCTTGGACCTTCAGGCCAGGCATTTGTCGGCTGGCACTGTTGACACCGCTCACCCTGGCTGACTGGCGACCCTGCGAGCATGTACACCAGACAACTTTCTTGAACGGAGGCTTCGTTGGTGATTGCAGTACTTCCGTGCAGTGCTGCAGTTCCAGAACTGCCACATCTCAGAAATTTTCGGTGCATGCGCCCCCCCAATCAGAACGTCCCATGCCACCTCCCTGGGCACCGCCCTGCCACCCTCTGTCTCTGTCTCTGTCTCTGTCTCTGTCTCTGTCTCTCTCTCTCTCTTTCATCCCCCTCGTCGCCTGGCAGGCGTGGAAAAAGGCTCTTGACGTGCAGCTTCGCGAGGCCAACAAACGCGAGGCGAGGACATGACGTCCCAACGGGCATCCGCAGTCCACCGCTAGGACCCCCTCCAGCGCACTCGGAGGGACGCACGACCTGTCGCCTGCGGCCCCGAGGCGGGCCTCGTGCGGCACTGGTGGAGGAGCTATCTGCGGCACCCCGCCCCTGCCGGGGGACTCCGCTCCCGCTGCGAGGGCCGGGCGGTGCCGCCTCCTCCCCTCGACCCCCCCCAGCCCGCCTCCAGCCCCTGCTCGAGGGCGCCCCCGACCAGCGCCTCCGGCCGAGCTCTGGAGATCCCGTGCCCCGAGCCATGCGTCGTCCGGCCCGGCCAGCGCCCTCGCCCTTCTGCTGTTGCTCGCGCCCCCAGCGGGCGCCCCGGCCAAGCTCCTCGGCGGGGCGTCCCTGGCCGCCGAGCCCTCGGCGGGGCTCAAGACCGTGCGGTGGCGGACAGTGCGGTGAGGTCTGTTCCGAGGTCACCGCGCGGTGCCAGCGACGACCCCGCCGGCCTGACGTCTGTGCCGGCGACGACTCTGCCGCGGGCGTTCAAGGTTGAACGCCAGCTGCAGCCAGTCGTCCAGCATTGGACGATCTGCGCTCTCGGACTGCCGCGAGCGCATCAGAACGAATCACGCGGTGTCAGACACTACCACCGATAGCATTGCGACGCTTACATTCCGTGCAGATCCAATCGATCATCGGTCTCCGATCAATTCCTCGGACCTCTCCAGGGGTGCGTTTTGACCAGGAGTTCGAGGGCGCCTGGGGCGTGTGGGTTCAGGGCGCACAGCTTGACCCCGCCGGCCAAGCGCTCTCCTCTCCACCTGTGCCCTGGCTCGGAATCCCAAGACATCCGACGATCTGACTTTTTCAATCCCGGCATTTCTCCTCGATTTCGACCTCTGGGGTCCCTCCTCGGGCCCACGGGCCACATTCAACTGGATCCGGACGAAAAGCTACCCGCAGGGAAGGGGTCAGGAGCTTTGGCCGCGGAGTCATACGCTGAGAACACTACTGCTGAGAAACAAAAACCTTTGGAAGCAGTCAAAGCTGAAGTGATGGCCTTGGGGGCCCAATGACGGGCCCCAGAAGCCGAAGTCAAGGAAGGGCCGCCAGGATGGCAAGCACCATGCTGCTGGAGACCTGGGAGGGGTCGTTCCCTCCCGCGGGCGCTCCCCCGTCGGCGCCCTCCCGCTCCCGCTGTGCGGGGGGCGGCTAGGAGGGGGGCGCTGATACAGCGGGGGCGTTCGTTGAGGAACGTGCCCAGGAGGCTTCAGACCCTGGAGGGTTCCTTATCTGACGAGGGCGGCGGTGATATCCATGGCCAATCCACGATTGGCTTTCCACTGGCTTCCAGACCGTGGATTCCTTATCCAATGCTTCCTTATCCAATGCCCCCACCGTGCAGCGGGGGGAGATGTCATGGCTGGGGCCATGGCACCTCCCCAGATTCCACGGCCCCCTCTTCTCCTCTGCGCACGTCCCTCGCGCCGCGCACCTGCCTCGGGCCGTGCTCTGCGAGCGCCCCCCTCTTGGACGCCCCCCCCTCTCCTGCACGCCCCCGGCCGCGGCCCGTGGCCGTCCGCTCTGCCCCAAGGCGCGCCGGTCGCCCGGCCCGCGCCAGGCGCGGGGCAGGCCCGGGCGCGGGAGCCGGCGCCCCGCCGCGCGATGCGGGGCGATGCAGGCCGGCGCTCTGCTGCAGGCTGGCGGGGGCGGGTGGGGCCGTTGGAGCGGGCCGGGGGGTCTGAGGTGCGGTTCGGGCGCTCGCCTCCGAGGAGGACGCGCTTACTTAGCGCAGGGTTATGTGATGTTCCAGCCTGCTCGAGTCTCGAGCACCAGAGAGAAGTTCGAGCACCAACCAGAAGCCGACCGTTGGAGGGTTTGGCGTGTCGGGCCCTGGGAGGCGGTACTCGTTCGACACTGCTTCGATACTTTTCTGGGTGCTCGAAATCATTTTGGGATGTGGTCCAGGTACGATGGGAGCAACATGATAGCAGGTCCTTGTGCGTCCCATCCTCCCCCGTTCGCCCTTTCCCCCCTCTTACCTCTCCCTCTTGCCCCTTCCCCCTTCACGATTGCCCTGACCTTGCCCCTTGCCCCTGCACTCAACCATTCGCTCTCGCCTTCGCCCTCGCTGGCCCCAGCATGGGTGCGAGCAAGAAGGGACGGGCAGATGCTCGACGTTCCAGGTTTTCGTGAGTGTTTTTTGTTCTTGATTCTTTCGGGCTCCGGAGGCCGTTTGTTTTCGGCCCTGTGGCCGTCAAGAGCGGGTCCCGGGTGAAAGCTGCACCAGATGGTCCCTGGGAGGGGTCTGGGGATTGATTTTGAGTGTATTTGTCCTTATCCCACCTTTCTTGACAGATTTTCTTGGGGCCCATCCAGTTCAGACCCCCATGGACTGGGCGCGCTCTGCCAGGAAATCCAGCCCTTCTGTTCGCACGTGGCTCTGACCAGTTTAGGTGTCAACCGCGGTGTTCTTCTAATTGGTATATATGTATGTATATATATACACACGTATATATATACACATGTATGCATGTATGTATATATGCATGTATGTATGCATGTATGTATGTATGTAAGTATGTCTGTCTGTCTGTCTGTCTATGCATGTATGTTTATATGCATGTATGTATGTATGCATGTATACATGTACGTATATATGTATGTATGCATGCATGCATGCATGCATGCATGTATGTGTGTATGTTTGTTTGTTTGTATGTTTGTATGCTTGTATGTTTGTATAGTTGTGTGTTTGTTTGTATGTATGTATGTATGTATGTATGCATGTATACATGTATGCATGCATTCATGCATGCATATATGTATGTATGTCTGTATGTGTATGCATGCATGCATGTATATACTTATGTATGTATGTATGTATGTACGCATGTTTGTATATATGTATGTATGTATGTATGTATGCATGCATGCATGCATGCATGCATGAATGCATGTATGTATGTATGTATGTATGTATGTATGTATGTTTGCATGCATGCATGCATGCATGTATGTATGCATGCATGCATGCATGCATGCATGTATGTATGTATGTATGTATGTATGTGTGCATGCATGCATGTATGTATGTATGTATGTATGTATGTATGTATGTATCTATGTATGTATGTATGTATGTAATGTATGTATGTATGTATGTATGTATATATGTTTGCGTGTGTGTATGCATGTATGTATGTAATGTATGTATGTATGTATGTATGTATGTATGTATGCATGTATGCATGTATGTATGTATGTATGTATGTATGTATGCATGAATGTGTGTACGTATGTATGTATGTATGTATGTATGTATGTAGATAGGTAGGTAGGTAGGTAGGTAGGTAGGTAGGTATGTATGTATGTGTGTGTATGTGTATATATACATGTGTGTATGTATGTATGTATGTATGTATGTATGTATGTATGTATGCATGCATGTATGTATGTATGTATGTATGTATGCATGCTTTTATGTATGTATACGTAGGTATTTTTTTATATATATATATATATATATATATATATAGATTGTAAAGTTCAGACTTCCATGGACGCCACCAAGGTAGGTCCCCTCCGTGTGATCGAGCCGAACGAACTGGGGGGGAACAGGGAAAGGGACCCCGGACGCCGTGATTTGTTCAGAGCGTGGACCTCCACCGGCCTCGACCCGTCCCCCGGGGCCAGCTTCCACCCCGAGCAGTTTTCGACGGCCCCGGGGCCTGGCGAGGCCCCCCGAGAGGCCGAACATAGCAGAAGACATTCCGTCAGAGGGGCTGCCCAGTCATCCTCCCATAGGTTTTGTTGTCAATCCGCGGTCCCAGGGCTCCCGACCCCCTCTGCAGGGGTGGTTCTTCGTCTGGGATTGTTTTTGATGGTCCGAGGGCCCCAGGACCCGAGGAGGGCCCCCACTGAAGGCGAAGTTGAGGAAGTTCGTCGGGGTTGAAGAAGTGAGACCGTCGGATGTTCCAGGGCGGCCAAGAGAGGGTTGATGACTGAGGGGGTGAATCGGATGTGAGAGGGTTAAGTCGGGCCTGTCCCTCTACAGGAGGAGTCTTCAGAAATAGAAAAAAATGACCTGGGGACGATTT